TTCGGCCCTGAAGGCCACCACGCGCTTCTGCCGCTGGCGGGATTGCGCGTGTGCCAAATGCGCGCTCATCGCGGAGCGCCAGCGCGTAATGGCCGCCCAGGTGGCGCTGCGCAGACAGCAAGCGCAGGAGGAGATCGACGCTCGGGGCGGCGGTGGCGGGGCTCACCCCAACCAGCAGCCGAAGCGGCCGCCTGTTGCAGTCCGCCTGAGCCCGGGGGCACCGGTGAGCCAGGTGGCCAGCGGCGCCAACGCAGAAAGCGAACCGGCTCCTAAGAATTGTTGCCCGGAGTTCCAGCGCGGGCGAAGAGGTGGGATTCCCCTTGATATTTGGGGTTAATTTCAGTACAAAGTGGTGGAGGCAGATTGGCCCCTCCGCGGCAGAAGAAAACCTCCCAAACTGTAAACCGCGGCTAATTCGAGCTGAAGTTTTGCCTGGGTTTAAGTCAGCGGTGGGAAGCCGGTGGCGTCCCAGTCGGCATAGTTCGCAAGAGCTCAAGTCAGAATGATTAATAATCGAGGATGCTGGCAATTGTAATTAAACATCTCGGGTGAGGGGGGGGGATCACTTGCTCTTTCCCCCAAGTTTTAAGTTTTAGATTTCTTCAGGGCAGAGATCAGGGTAGTATCACTGAGAATGGTGGTGGTCTCTTTTAAGTATCTGGAGCTTGTGCAGTAATACTTTTTGAGGATGATGACAGCAAGTTTAGGGGTAGATCTAATTGAATCACATTTTCTTTTTTTGTTCTTAAAAAATCCCCAAGCCAATTAATAGCTATGAGTGTGTATTTAATGTGAGTTAATTTATAGATGACTGCGCTGCTCAAATCCTTTTTGGATTATGGAGCTTATTAATTACTTGAGATACTAATAGAAGGAATGTTATTTAGGATACTGATGGAGAAGGACCTTAGGAAACCAGTAATAATTTTGCTTGATGTGATAGATTATAAAGTAGAAACCTGCCTTTCCTGTGGCTATTGTAATGGCAAAGAAAAAAACCCAACCCTTTGTTGTTGTCGATTGTTGGAATTGAAAACAAACTGTAGATGGAATCCATGGAACTCTGTGAGATCCATTCACTTAAATGGGTTTGTGTTGGCATAATAATTTACACAATAGAAAGAATATGAATTCGCTTTTTAGGCCCAAAGGATGCGAAAAAGTCTGTTATTAATCGTATTATAGCTCTTCTTCCATCTCAAACACATCCACACTGATGCAAGTGTTAGTGGCACTTTCCAGAATGTGTTAAGACTGTGGCTTTTCACCATGCTCCATAGCATGGTTTATTGAAGTTTAATTTTTAACATAGGTGCTGCAAGTTGGCCATGTACTTACATTTTAAGGAAAATAATAATGCTTGGAAAAATAGACAGTGCTTCTAAAAATTATATAAAGCTTCTGGGTATTATTAATATTGCAAGCATTTGGCATTGCACATATACTACCGAAACAGAGTATTTTGCTTGTTCTAAGGCAAATGACTTGAATCTATGAGCTATCCTTCGTATGGGCAATTGTAGTATATAAAGATACAAAATACCAAGAAAGTGTCTTGGGAAAGCTCCGTTAAAAGGTAATGAGTATTGCAGTTTTCTTTTAGTGCTCTCATTAATTTAAATGGTCTTTCTGCAGATCAGTTTGTGCTGTAGGAAATCTGTGGAGGCAGAAGAACAAGTTGTATGGGAAAAGCGTAGTAGCATTATTTTCTATTTTATGGATGACGAAAGCACTTTATATGCAACATTATCAAATTATGATAGTTTACTCTCAGATACAGTTTGTGGCTTTTAAGCACTTAGGAGCGACTTTACATATGAAGAATGTCCTGTGTGGACATGGCTTCCGTTTTATGATTTCCACTTTGTATTGTTGTGGTGTTTCTACTTTGCACTAAGTGCATATGTTTGTTTCATGTTCTGTACATGTGAAGAACCCTGCTTAGATATTTCATAATAGATGCAAAAAAAGCGGGGGGCATGTACATTATATGTCATGCATATAATAGCCGGTGAGCTGGGCACTTATAGTAACTAAGTGTTTGTGGGATATTTGTTGTATGTGAAGTGAAAGTAAGCAAACTTGTAGAATACTTTGAGAGTTAAGCCAACAACACTGAGTGATGAATAAAAGTTTTTCAAAGGCACTGAACTGTGTACGTAGAATAACGAATAAGAGATGTGATTCCATATCTAGTAATGCAGAGGCTTTATGCATTTATATGCAGAAGCGGTAGATAATCAGATATATTGTAATAACTTGAGTATTTGGCTATGTTTTTCCCCACTAGAAGAGAAGATTCAGAAATATGACTTCTACTGCAATGAATCGGGCAGCTCTGTAGTTCATTTACTTACACCCTCTCTGACATCTTCTCCTGAAGCTGCTGGAAGCAATCAAGAGAAGTCATCTGGGATGCAGCCTTTAAGTAAAGAGATTCCTTCATCCGGTCCTGATGAATCTTTAGAAGGAACTGACAGTTCAGCCTCTCTGTCTTCTTCAGACATGGAATCAGGAAATGAAAGTGAGTGCCCCAAGGATTTTGTTCCCTGTAATGCCAGTGTCCCTCCTGCTGCTGGTTCCTTAAAGCGCAGAGACCCACTTGATATCCTTACAAAGGTCTTTCCTAACCACAAACAAAGCAGGTTAGAAAGAGTCCTGCAGCTCTGCAGAGGAGACATAGTCCAAGCTATAGAGCAGATCCTGAATGCAAATGAACACAGGCAAGGATTCCGAGAGCTTGCAATTCCAGTCTTGCCCGAATGCAGTGCTTTCCAGAGATCCTCTGATTTCGGCCTCGGAGTAGATGTCGCAGCACTTGGCAATAAATCAGCATTTGCTCCTCTTCAAACCAGCCCGGCCTCATTCAGAAGAGAGGTTAATTTGTATGGTTTAAGCCCTAGACTGGGAATTGGACCTCTAAGAGTGACATATTCTCCTCCAGGAAGAGCTTTACCTGGATTGATGGCACCGTACCTGAGGACTGGCTTATTTCCTGCTTTCCCTTTTCATCCAGTGGTGGACTCTTCCTTTTCAGGAGTGATCAGAGATGCATCTTATTCCCCCAGTGAAGACAGGGTTGTCAGTACCAAGATGTATACCAGGTTAAATGAAGAACGCAAATAGTATCTTGATCAAGACTTAATTTTTCTTTTTCTTATTCCGATTTGTTCAGTTGGGCTGATACTCATTGTGGAGCCCAAATCTTAAATTTATATCTAATAAAGTTTCAAATCCTTCATTAAAAAAAAAAAAAAGGCTGCAATGGGATTCCTTCCCAAAAATTGGTTGAAAATGATTTGAAAATGGAGAGACTTCTGGAGTGTCAACAGTAAAAAATTATTAGAAGTAAAATTGATATGGAATATTATACTAACACATATTTCATTCTACTTTGAAACTTTGGAAGAAAAAAAAGGTGACACTTAAGAAGTTTGGAGTTGAAAATCCAAGTGTACTGTGAAAAAAGTCCAGTAAATCAGGCCTGTGGAATTCCCTTTTGCATTTTTAAAATATTTGATATATTTGTTTTTTTGACTTGGAATGTAGGTGCTTGAAATCAAGAAATAGTTTTCCAAATATAGACACTTGATTGTTTTTATGAAAAGGTTCTTGAAATATGTAGTACATGTCTGTGATCAACTGTTGTAACAAAATTGGTAAGGAATTTTGGATATAAGCAGTCTTTTTAGACTGAAGATATTATGCCTTAATTATGTTCCATATGCATATGGATAGAAGCATTGAAGGAATTGCCTGGTTAAGAAATAATTCTGAATTATGCTTTAGAATAATGTGAATGAGATTCAAGCTCATATACTTTTTGCTTCTTTTAACATAAATGAATAATGAAGTAATGAGTAATGAATATTGGAAACATCTTTCATTTTGCGTTACTAGCTGTATAATATTGAATCTGCTGGATTGCAGTTAAAACTGTGGCTGGATCCACATATTATGCTCAGCCATAGTTTGCTTTAACCATGGTTTTTAACAGCCTGTAATGGCCAGGTTCAAACAATGTGCTAAGTCAAAATGGCTTGGTGCAATATATGAATCTAGTCCAGGGTTCGCTTGTGCTAAACAGTGGCTTATTTAACCATGGTTTATTAAACAACCCACAGCTGCTACAAGGTTTATCCTAAGCCAGTGATGGGCAACATGCGAGCCACATGGGGCTTGTAGCACCCATTTATGCGAAGCATTGCCCCGCCCAAATTTGGTGGCAATATGACCAGATTTCAGTGGTCCATTCTTTCTGGGTGAGGGGACCCTCAAAATTAAGGGTAAGCTTGGGAAATCTTCTGCTCCCATTCCCACTGATAACTCCAGTAACCCTCCCCTAGGTCCCCCTCCTAAGGTCACAAAAACACATTTTTTCCAGACCAATTCCGCTTGTCTTGGGACAGTGGGATTAAGAGTGGAAATAAGAACATGAGGTACCTGGGAAGCAACCTGTTCCTGTCTCTGCTCTTGAAATTCCCACACATCCACAGCAAGCCCAGACCAAGCAAACCGCATGATGGTCTCCCAAAGTATGTGGATACAGCTTGCATTTTATGACGGAAAACAATCGCCTAAAAATGGAAAGGAGAAAACAAAAACAGATGGCATTCCCAAGAATCGTTTCTGTAATATGAAGCCTTAACTTCTGGCTGCTGCTTCTGGGTGATCTGTAGGCACAAGATGGAGTTCTGATTCTGAAGCTAAACCTAGCTGCGTGGATGGAAATCACGTCACTATATAATTTTTTGGAGAACAAATGGGTCCTACGTGTAATAATAAATGTGTAGATTAATAAAATGATGTGTCTTGAATTAACCAGCAGGAAGATGGTAGCTGATTTGTTTATTTATGG